TCACACTGCAGAGTCACCGAGGAGTCGTCACATAAACACATAACACAGACTGAACAAAGACACAGGCTCATAAGCAGGCACTACACACACACACACACACACACACACACACACACACACACACTGAATGAACAGGGAAAGACATTTGTGTGCAGATCCTGAACTGATACCTGTCCTAGAAACACAATGTTTTCAATGAGACCTGCATTCTGCATCACCAACACTAGAGAAAATGAATATACAGACTGTAAACAGTCAGTATTAGGAAAAGAAGGCATGGTGCAGGTAAGGTCACCTGTGCAGAACAGAGCCCCCTGCTGGTCATTGTGTTGAACAGCAGAGACTGTAACCGGCTGATCTGAGAGCAGGCCGAGGGCAACACCCAGAGCTGCGTGGAGGACACGGACTGCGGAGGCCGAGAGACTGAACAACAGAATAAAGGTTGATTTTAAAAAGAGCAAAATAGAAAACGGGTTTGCTTAAAAGCAGTGCAGCCCTTCAAGGGGGTCAGAGGTCAGGCGTCTCACTTTGACAGGCTCCGCTCAGCGGCTTCTGGTCTCCATCCCATCTCCGACTCGCAGTCTCACACAGGAAACTGCTGATAGCAAGTGAGTTCTGGTAGCCATGGTAACAAGCAAGGTCACAGCTCTGGCGTCCATCAGCTGGTGGGCGGCACACCAGCACACCATGGGTAATGATGGGGGCGGGGCACAGAGGACCTGGAGAAGGCATATACCATCAGAGCCAAGCCACTTCCTGTTGATCCTACGGTTACTGTGATAGTAACAATCCACCCAGAGGGCGCTGATGAGCTGCGAGTGAGGTTCATCAACACAAACTGACACAGGAAGGAAATGCACCATCCCGCCACAGAGCTTAGCTAGTTCTTACGGTCACATGATGGCGTGCGGCCTGTCTGTCGAGATGTTCTCGTCCCGCCCACTTCTTGTCCATTCTCGGAGACACACCAGCAGGAAGTGACATCACACTGAAGAGGAGCGAAGGAGCCATCAGGGCGACACTGGAGTCCTTGTAGCTGACACCAGCTGGGACCTGAACGCACCACACAGTTTGCAGCGTTAAACAAGACAGTGAATGCATCACTAAGAGGAGTGTGTGTGTGTGTGTGTGTGTGTGTGTGTGTGTGTACATGTCAGCTGTCCTGTTGCGTTTGGTGTTGCCGTTTGTATCGTCCCTCCAGTCAGAGGGTTCACACACCAGCCTGCAGCGCCCCCTGTCTGCAGCACCGAGAAATGACCGTCCTGAAACAAACATGCACACACACACACACACACACACACACACACACACACACACACAGAGTTTAGATGGTTACAGTTGGAGCTTATTTATTTATATAGCACATTTAATCACAACAGGAGCGTTGACCAAAGTGCTGCACAAGAATACAACATACCTAATAAAATAACACCAAATATGAATTAACAAATAACTCTCATGCTGTATTAAAAGCCGGTAAATAAAAATGTGTTTTCAGATAAGAGTAAGAGCCCTCAGATGAAATCCAGCTTTATCTAAGTAAAGGCAGTTTGAGCAGCTGAAGGTTGGAAAACACTGAAAGCTACTTTCAGCTGCTCTCCTGCCACAGACGTCAGCTCCGCATCTTTGATTTTGTTTTGACCGGACGCCCTTCCTGACAACACCCCAACGAGGATTTGAGTCTCCGGCTGGAATCCAACCAGAAAGTATTTTTCTTGGTTTGTTTCTCTACAAAAGTCATATTCAGTGGTTTCACTGGTTTCACTGGTCTTTACGCCCCACCTGCAGTAGCTCTGTTGTCCTCATCAGAATCTCACAGTTGCTGAGACAGATGTGACAAAGTTTAATCCCTGTCAGCTTGCTGGGAAAAGGGTGTATGCATGTTTGTGGGCTAATACCTGCTCACAGGTTGGGTGGTAAGGTGAGGAGGTGGTGATGTCAGAGCCTTTCATCCAACCGGAGAGCAGGGAGCGAGCCTTTGCTCTCTGACAGCGAGTCAAACCTGCAGGGAAACAAACACACAAAGGTTATGATTGCAACAAAGACTGAGGTGGATAAGTGAACTTTGTGTGTGTGTGTGTGTGTGTGTGTGTGTGTGTGTGTGTGTGTGTGTGTCTTACATTTGGGCAGGCTGAGCGAGCGGCTGGTCAGAGAATCAGAGATGTACTGTCCGTCTTCATCGACACACCAACACTGACCTGAAAAACACATTTATTCTGTAAAAACGTGTGTGTGTGTGTGTGTGTGTGTGTGTGTGTGTGTGTCAGAGAGACAGACCTGTGCTGTGGTAACACTGCGTGAGCAGCCAGCGTCCGTCGGCGTCACACTGAGGAGTAAACGGCTGGTACGAGCGGCGCTGACGAGGCAGCAGCATCTGGACAGCTGAGCAGGAAGAAGACCAGCGTCAGTGCGGCAACACGAAGGCGGGACACGCCTCTTTGTTTATTCAGATAATTAAGGAAAATGTGCTCGGGGAACGTTTTCTCTGTCTTTCAGCTCTTTGTCATTTTGTTCATCTGGATCCTTTGAGGCCTTTTTTAAAATTGTGCTTGTGTGACTCTCGGTGTGACCCGAAACTCTGGCTGATTGGGGCCCACACCCAGTTTCACACCTTGGCTCAGGCGATTAGAGGATCATCAGGGGTCCTTTTGTCCCTCTGTGGGGGAAACTCCCACTAGGTTTATATCTGGGACTCTCCACCATTTGACCTTAGAACTGAAGAAGCTTCTCGGATGAGAGGTGAAACGTCTTCAAGCAACTTAAAGAAGTCCAGACGCTTTTCTTTCCAAGCTCCTTTGACTTGTGTGACTCTCGTTTAACCCTGGAGAACCAATGGGGTCGGCTCCAGGGTTAAAAACCTGAGCATGGTTCAGGTCCAGTTAGAATTTTTCTTTTGTTTTGTTGTTTTAGTGCCTTGAGAACAGTTCCTGGGACTACAGGAAGCACGACCGTAACTACATTTTTATTCCACAATAAAAGTATTTTTATATATTGATTTAAATCCTTTTGAAAGTCTGTGACTCACTGGAGAAAGCAGCCAATCGCAGAGCAGCTCTGGGGCGCCTCAGTAGCGTCTCAGAAACTTGCAGTTCCTCCTCTGATTGGCTGATCTGGAGTTCCTCACGGGTCAGACGCAGACCTTCGGCCAGTAGGAATCCATATCCCAGAGGGATGTGGGAGGAGTTAGAGAGCGAGACGATGCTCTTCACTTCCTGTCTGAAGGTCTCGACCTCGGCCAACGCCTGCGAGCACCGACCTGCAGAGACCACAACAGACTCGTCCAGACGGTGGAGGACAAAAACTGCCAAAATCAAAACTAAATAACATCAAATAAATGTATGTCACATGACCTAAAAATGACTTTTTATCACTTTAGTGCGACATAAGCTGACATTTACTTTTATTTATCTTTGTTTTCATTTATAGAACATTTATCTTTATAAATACTTTTGTATTTCTGTATTTTTTCACTGTTTTGTATTTATTTTTTAAAACATTCTTTGTTCTTTTTGCCTGATTTGCAACAAACGTATCGACAGACACGTCGTTCAGTCAGACGACAGCGAGAGAGATGAAGCGCCGAGTTAAAATAACTGTAACCGCCTGACTGTGAGTCAGGAAATTTAAACAATCCAAGAAAGAAAGAAAGAAAATTCACGTGAAAGACAAAGTTCATTAAGCACAAAAACAATTTGTCTCGTAAATGAATGAAACAGTTTATGTTTAATGTCCCAAAATTGAGGCTGAACTTTGGGTCTGATTGGACTCAGGCGTCAGGTTCGATCTGACCTGCAGAGGATCGAAGCGTCTCTGCTTTTCTCTCTGGACCTGAAACGAAACAACAGAGCATCCTGTAACTTTATGAACACAAAGTATAAAATACAAAAAACTCAAAACAAGACAAAACCGGATCTTTACAGAAGAACTACTTATAGTTTAGAACTGCTGCAATCTGAGTTTTTTCAAGGTAAAACTCTTGAAGCACTGCTGGAGGAAAAAGCGAGTCCGTGGTTACAGCGTCCGTGCACAGCAGCTGCTCAGAATTCAATCTGATGATGAGCGAGTGTTTAATGATCGCCTGCTGCTTTTACGCTTCTTCTTCCACTTTAAAAAGATTTATTTTTCTTCCTGTTTTTTTATTCCAACATAAAAAATACAAATATCTCTGAGCTGAAATATTTCGGAGTCTTACAGGTGACAGCGCCCCCTGCTGGCCCGACAGTCATTGTCTTCCCCTCAGCGTCCACGCAGAAGCACCGTGAGCCGACGCACTGCAGCGGCAGGAAGTCTCCATCCCGCGAGCACGCCGGGATGTGGATTTCAGCACTGGCCGCCATGTTCGATCTCACCTCGAGGGCCGCCGCCCGCGCTCTCTCACAGGGGGACGGACAGCGAGGTCGTCGAGTGATGGTCCGAGACCCCTTCACCTCCCGCCCCTGAGGGTCAACACACCAACACTCTGCACCCTGACACTGGACCTCCTGGAAAGCACCGCTCTGTGTGCAGCTGGGAACAAAGATGGCCGCCAGGTCATCGTCATCATCCGTGGAGCAGGAGCGCAGCAGAGGAGTGAGGACCTGGAAAATATCAACATTTTTAAGTGATGATGGAGAGAAACTAGATGCGCACGAGTCACCAGAAGGTGATGGGATGAACTGGATCGGCAGGTTAGACGCTGATGTTGTTCCAGCTTCTCTTTAAAAGCAGAACCAGGCAGGATGTTCAGGTGTGTGTCACAAATGCACGGCAGCGTAAAAACGTCACCTGTTCCACGGAGGCAGACTGAGAGCTGCTGAGACCCGTCAGCGTCTGCTGGAGGGTGGAGAGGAAGGCGGGGTCCTCCAGGGCTCTGCTGACAGACTGGACCAGGTCCTGGTTCCTCTGCAGGCGGACAGCGAGGCTCTGAGAGGACGGCGGGTCCAGACTGAGAGCTCCCCGAGATCCCACCGCCCCACTGAAGTTGAAAGCTGCTGCGTTTTTCAGGAACTTCCCTCCGAACAGATTCTCCTGGAAGCGCCGGGGGGAGGAGCGAGTCAGAGCCTGCAGAGCCCCGCCCACAGAGGGGAACAGGCCATGCAGGACTTCGACCAGCTGAGACAGAAAAGAGGTGGGGTCAGAGTCCACTGGGAGGAGGTCCCTGAGAGGCTGGAGGAGGGAGAGACAGGAGGCTGGAGGGCTACCAGAGGAGGCCTGAAAAGGAGGCTCAACGGGACCAGAGAAGAGACGGGACAGAGCCAGACGGCGCTGCGAGCGGCAGTCGGCTGGACCTGAACCTGGAGGAGGAGAAAAGATAAACGAGATAAGGCATCAGGAGCTCTGAAGACAGATGCAGAAACTGAGACAAATGAGAAGAAGTGTAAGAAAAATTTGGACACAGAGCTCAAACACTCACTGCAGGTCAGGGAGTCTCCGTGCTGCCGAGTCCCAGGAAGCTCTCTCCCCGCAGGGTCAACGCACCAGCACTGCCCCCCCTGCTGGCACTGTTTGGAGTCGAAGGCTCCTCCGCTCTCACAGGATGGGATGAATACGCTGTTCGCCTCCATCGCTGCTCGCCGCTCCTCCTCACAGGGAGATGGGCCTGAGACAGAGAGCAGGATGGGTGGAGGTCACATACGTGTTTAGACCAGTGTTATCTGATCCAGCCGTCACCTCCTTCTACACTTTTAAAAACGAGATGATGCACGAACAGCAAACTTTCCATGAAGCCGTTCCATTCTACCTCCAACACTGCCAGTGGAGGAGGAAAGCTCTGATATCGCAGCAAGGTGTTTGTCCAGGTGCAACAATGGCCTGACCTCCACAACAACATGAAACACTCGCCTGACTTACACAGTTGGACACGTCACAGTTAACCTACAATAAAACTACTTTAAACTAAATCACAGGCCAAACCAATCCAGCTAACCCAACCAGCTTTGACCAGTGTCTCCACCGAACAGCAGCCATAACTCAGTTTGAAAAGATTGAACCAGCAGGAGACGTTTTTCTAAATAATTTTACATCTGAAGTGTCCGGTGAGGGCGAGGCGTACTCCCAGCATCCTCCTCTGCAGGACTCGGTAGATGTTGGTTTGAGAGAAGGAGTGACCGGAGCGAAGACCAGAGAACGCCGAGTCGTACACCTCAGACAGGAGGAGCTCCACACCTGGGCAGAAAGAGCACACCTTCATCACAGTCACCGCTGTTATCATCATCCTTACGGACCTGATGATTCTGTCTGATGAATAAATACATTTTGTTAGTGTGTGTGTGTGTGTGTGTGTGTGTGTGTGTGTGTGTGTGTGTGTGTGTGCGTGTACCTGTGTTCTCCAGCTCTCGGCCTCGGCTGTCTGAGCAGAAGCAGTAGGAGGAAACCAGCGGGAAAAACTTCCTGAAGCTGCTGAACGTCTCAAAGGCTTCTGGAAACCTGAAACAACAAACACACTCACAGCGCCACTTCCTGTTTTATTTTGAAATCTTTGTTTTGCTGCACAGGGGGCTTTAATTCCACCAGTTGTTCTTTTCACCACCAGTTTTCTGCACCACCCGTCACTCTGCTTTCCCATGTTTTCATGTTCGGCTTCGTTTCCCTCACTGTCCCGTTATGATCTTTTATATGCACTATATGACCTCAGACATGGATTCAAGGGTTTTCTGCTCTCTACTGTCTGACTTGTCTCACACTGTTGGTGTAGACATGAGGACATGACTTCAATAAAACTTGTTTTGGGTGAAGCACCATCACTGATCCTTTAACCACAGCAGGAAACATTCTTTCAAAAGGATTAATGTTGCTAACAGGAGTTCAGCTCACAAGATCACTTAAAGTTTAATGAAATAAACAAAAGCAGCTGCAGGACCAGCTAAAGCTCCGCCTGCAGGTCGCAGGAGATCCAGTCCAAAAGCATGATGACGTCAGCAGCTGCTGCTTTCAGTTTAAACGCCAACCTTCAACGTTAATTTTGAACTAGTGTCACGTCTTCAAAGCCGCAGCAACAGGACGCTCATTGTTACTGTACCTATAATATTTACATAATAATCATCTTTACATATTTATGTTTCATATTTACAGAGATGATAAAAACATGAAACTGATCAAATGTGGAAAGAAGCCAAGACAACTGCACAGGCGCACAAGCTCCGCCCTCACCCAGCGCCCGCCTCCTGGTCCTTTCTGGCTCTGATGGAAGCATCATTTCCAAAATCTCATCAAGTTTTATTCAATAAGAACTAAAACAGCGACTGAGACCATAAACTCATCAGGAGGATGAGTGAGGTCACAGATCACGTGACCAGTCGGCTCATCACTGTTTACAGAGCCAGACTTAAAATGCTTCCAGGCATCATCGCATTTGTGTGAAGGTGCAGGCAGGTGTGCGGGCAGGTGTGCGGGCAGGTGTGCGGGCAGGTGTGCGGGCAGGTGTGCAGGCAGGTGTGCGGGCAGGTACGTTACCTGTTGAAGGCGTGCAGCAGGTCCAGCTCTGTTCTGTCTGTGGTGTTGATGAATTTACACTGGACCGGGAGGAAGCTGCCATCTTCAGCACACTGAGGAGGAGAAGACGACCTGGAGGAGCTGTGAAGGAGCCGCCTGGACCTCACTTCACAGCCGCCGGGACCTGAAGGTCAGAGGTCAGCAGGTCGATGAGTCTGATGATCTCAGACAATCCAGCAAACGCAGTTTAACAGAAATCAGAGCAGGAGGCGGGAGGAGTAACAGGTTTGTATAAGCTGGTAAGTTAAAAACTTGGTGTTCAGATAAACAAAGATTAGCCACATGCACCACGTGCTTTAAACTTCATTCCAGCTTCCAGTGAAGAGAGAAAACAGCCCACAGAGCTCCAGCAACACCCGAACACTCAGAGCTGCAGCGCTAAGCAGCCGATTTCACACCCACTCTGGAAAACTTACAGCGGCGGGGCCTCCCGTCTTGTCTGGTCCCGTAGAGCTCCATGCCGTCCTGATCCACACACCAGCACTGCCCCCTGCTGGAGTCACACTGAACTGGCTCAAAGAGGCCTGAAGGCGAACACCGCAGGACGGCCTGCAGCTGGCAGGGAGACGGGCCTGCGCACACAGACTCGCGTTACTGTTCCTCCTCCTAACTTCTTGTTCTTGGTGTCTTGTATGCTCTTTTGTTCCACTGACTGCTTCTCTGAATGGAGATCCGTGAATTTCTTATTCTTCATCTTCTGTTTTTATTTATATAGATTGAAATTTTTATAAAGTGTCAATTTTAACTGCGATAATAGCAAAATAGCTCATCCCACATAAACTCCCCACTCTGCTATTTTAAATTTGTTTTATGTCGCATACCGCTTGCTCTTATGTTGCTTTTATTATTCTGCTGTGTTGTTGAGTGTTCTGAAAGGCACAAATAAAATGTATTATTATTAAAAAATAAAAAAAGGAGAAGAAAGCAGGATATTATTAAGAAAAATGTGTTTAGGATTGTAAATTTGTGTATATAAAATCTAAATGTCCTTTAATCCTTTAATGATTATAAATAAAAGATTCTCAGAGCTTCATTTTCCTGAAGGTAAATATTGAAATATGCAAGAAAAAACACGTTAAGAAAGATTACAGTAATGTTTAAGCTACTTATGTTTATTTTTATATGAATGAGCAATTTTCAAAAGTATGACGTAATTTGTTTTATTATTATTTTTATACTTTCCTTCTTTATAGCTTATTTGGGCCTGTCTGTGCTGTTATATGTTCATTTGTTTTCCACACTATTATAATTATTACCATCATACAGCACGAGAATTAAACGTGATGTTAAGAGCAGAGAAGAAGGTTTACAGCTGATTTCCAGACTTCCTGCATCATGTGATCTGTGATGTCAGACGTGTGTGTTTTGGTGTTTCTCACAATGAGGAGCTGAGCCGCTGGTTCGAGTCCCAGTGACCTCCTGACCTTCAGTGTCGACACACCAACACTCCTGACCCCGCCCACTGCACTGCACAGGTCTACACGCACACACACACACACACACA